TAAGTAGTCGTACGAGGATAACTTTTCGGTGGAAAACACATTAAAAATGTTACTCTAGACAGGAATTGATCAATGAGACCCTGAATTTCACTCTGAAGAGCCGTCCACAGTATTTTTATCTGAGACCTGTTCAGACAATACATCCCTGAGTTTGTCTGATGGCTTAAATGACCGAGAGACAAGGAACAAATCCTCAATGGCGGTGGCTCTGGGAAGAGGCGGACTCCTGGCCAGGGCTGCCCCGAGACGTGTGCCTGGAGCTGTTCACTTGGGGGTCACGGCCAGTCATTCATACCTCCGCCCCCCTCCAAGGCTCTGGGCACGAGACCCGTTCTCCTCCATGCACCCCAGCAAACAGCGGGCCTTGAACAGATGCTGGTTCGACAGAGTTACTGAACAAACCTGAATCAACGCCCCACCCCCGACACACACACCCACTCCCAGCACCTCCAAAATCTTCTCTCACGCAAAGTCTCGCACGTCTGGACTCCTAAAACTGCCTGGACGGGGACAAGGGGAGCTCCCACCTCCCGGAATTCCCCGGTGTGTGGCCCAGACAGCCGTGGGGCACCAGCACCCAGCCAGGGCAGACACCAGACAGGCCATCCCCAGGCCGTCTCTGAGCGGCGCTGGGAAGTGAGGAGGACCGCCGGCCCCCAGCCCCGGGCAGAGAGGCAAGCCAGAGCAGGACGGGTGAGCAAGCTCTCCACCATGGGGGGGTGGGTCCCATTTCGTAAAGCAAGAAAAAGTGGGGGCATGAAAGAGGGCAGGAAAGCAGGAGACATTGTCTCACCCTGCTCTGCACCTTTTGAACATTTCCTTGCTGACTCAGACACCAGTGGAGGCTCTGAGAAACCAAGAGAAAGGCACAGGACGAGGAAAATCCCCGCTGGAGAGGCCGGGGGAGACCTAGGAGACCCCTGTTCAGCTGCTGCAAAGGACTGTCGGGGGAAATGCAGTGGGAGTCCAGCGGGCCTGGTCCCAGCCCAGACCTGCGGCTCGAGGTGGCCCTGGGTCCCTAGCCCCCTCTGAGCCTGGATGAGGGGACGAGGGGTGAGCACCCGCTAAGGTCCCTCCGTGCTGCCTGTCCCTGATTCAATACCACAATTTCCCCGCCACATGTCCAAGGACAACCCAGCCGGCAGAACAGAGCAGGAGAGAGACGGCGTCCCCTGTGGTCCGTCCTCCTCCCGGCCACACCACGGAGAACACGAACAAACATCAGCGAAACAAGCAAACACACACTCACCACCCGAGTTCCTCCAAATGAGCTCGCCCCCGCTGAGTCCCGGCGGGGGCGGGGGCGGGGCCCCCACGGGCTGCCTGAGCTGAAACGCCAATGCCATGTGCAGAAACCGGCTCCAAAGGCAACTCAGAGAGAGAAGGGACTCTTCTCCCCGCGAGCCCAGCCGGACAGCACCTCCGCACCGCCACCCTCTCGTGCCTCCTCAGCACTTTTCCCAGCTTGCTTGTTGGGGCGAATCCTAAGACCGGGAGCTGCCCCGGCTGCACAATGGGTTACGTAACTCCAGGCCGCCTGGGCACCCTATCGGCTCATCTCGTAAAACCGCCCCAAACAGAAGGTGACGCACCCGAAAATGTGATATCCCCTGGTCGGGGGGTAGGGGAGCAGGGCTTTGTGATGGGCGCTTGGCTTCGCCTAAAAATGTAAGAGGAACAAAAAGTCTCCTGTTCACTGCGGCGCTCCCTGGGAACAGGGGGCGGGGAGCATTCGCCAGGGGCCGGATGCCAAGTGGTGTCCCGGGACCACGCTCTCTCGGCAAAGCCCGTGGAGCCCACAGAGGCATCCTCGGGGATACTCCAGCTGCTCCGAGGAAGGCTTTCTTTTCGTGTCCTCCTCTCCACGGGCGCCCGATGAGACGTGAACCCGCGTGTGATCTGCATGGTCCGGCTGCACGGCACCTTCACCAGGCAACACCGCCTGTGTTCACCCTCCCGCCTTCCTGTTCACGGAGCTGCTGCCCGTCGTGGCAGCACAAAGCTGCCCCGAGCAGCCTGCCACGGCTGTCCCGGCAAGGAACTTCCAGTCACCACGCCCTGCAGGGTCTACGGTTTCGGCACCGCGTGCTGCCATTTCTTCGCCCTCGCTTGTCACGTTCGGAGAAAGCAAAACTGCCTGAACAGGCCGGATGTTTCCTGGACTTCACCGGCGCAGACGCTACAAGAATCCCGGGGATTATTAGTTCACATGTTTGGACAAATGAAGACGCAGCTGGCACGCTGCCTCCTCCAGGAAGCCCTGCTGGTCTGCCCCTACCTTTTCCCCTCCAAGGCGTGGCCAGGCACCCTGCCCTGTGCTCTCCCGTGTGCCCGTGCCCACCACTGCACTAACCACGGCGCACACCCGGCTCCCACTCACTCATCTGGCTCCGCAACTAGACTGTACTCCCGGGCGGCAGAGGACACTGGCCCCGGGGCCTTGGCCTGGACGCACGCCCCGCCCCTCACAGCCTGGGGACCTTAGGCCGGAAGCTGAACCTTTTCTGATGTAGTTTCTTTACCTGTAAAAGGGGACAACAGTCCCAGCTTCATGTGGAAGCATAATAATTAAATGACGCTTTCTTTGCCCAACACACGTTTACTGAGCTCTGGCCACACGCAGGCACTAGGGCGCTCGTGGGGACTCGGGGCGCAAAAGGTGCTCGCCCTGGGGTCAGTTTATGTTCTGTTTGTATGCTGCGAGTGCAGCTCCCGACTAAGTCTGGGGAGAGAGATAAAGCGGGAAGGGGAGGTGGGGAAAGGCGGGGGTACCCCTCCTTATGCAGGGCGGCAACACGGCTAATGAAACGCCATTTGGGGAAAGCGAAGAGAGCATCGTGAAAACATTGGGGGTTAGGGTGATCCGGGAGCCGGGCAGCTGCAAGAACAAGGGCCCTGAGGAGGGGGTGTTCCCATGTGTCCAGGGACCAGCAAGGAGGCCCAGGGGCCCACAGTGCAGCGGGCACAGGGGAGCCGGGCCAGAGGGGTGGGGCAGGGGCTGTCACTCAGACCCTCACAGGCCGTGATTGGCATGAGCCCACTAGAGGTTTGGGCAGAACAGCTAAACCATCTGTCTTTGCACTTGAATAAGCCTCTCCCCTGGCTGCAGAGAAGGGACAGCACAGAGGCAGGCAGGCGGGCAGGAGCCCCCCCCAGGAGGCACTGCGATGACCCAGGTGGGAGATGGAGGTGGCTTGGACCAGGGTGGCTGCTGGGGGCCTGGTGAGGGACAGACAAAGTCTGGAAGAGGGAACCAAGAGACGTCCCAGCAAACTGGGGTGTGAAAGAGATACAGAGGTCCCAGGTGCCTCCCAGGTTTTTTGCATGGACACCTGGACGGATGGAAGTACCACCTACAAAGACAGGGAAGACCTCGGGAAAGCGGAAGAAGTGGAAACCAGGAGTTCAAGTTGTCTGCTAGGCATCCGAGGGGAAATGATGCGGCCTTAGACCAGCACGTCTGGCCTGGAGGGGAGGGTCCAGTCTGCGGACAGGAACGGGAGAGCGGTCAGGGTAGAGGCGGGTGTTACGTCCTGGAGACTGGGAGAGGTCGCTAGGACACAGCTGTACCTGGGGGAGCGAGGGGCTGGGGGTGCTGAGCCCCGGGCCCTCCCGCATCCCCAGGCTGGGGGAAGACGAGGGGCAGCCAGCAAAGGGGGACAACCCGGAGAGTGGGGGCCCACGGCCAAGGAGGACCCGACTTCCAGGAGAAGGGAGTGGTCGGCAGCATCAGCTCCTGCTGCAAAGGCGAGGAGCTGAAGGCTGAGCACGGGCCCCTGGACTGAACCCGGCCATCAGCGCTGGGGGACTGAGGGGTCACGCACCTGCTCGCACTGGACGCAGGAGAGAACAGAGGAAGAGAAAACGGGTCAGCAGACCGAGGGGCAGAGGCCTGAGCATTGGCTCTGGGGAAAGAGGGGCCGAGGGGGACTCCTTTTCAGAAGAGGGTCATCATAAAATAATAATAATAATAATAATAATAATAATAATAATAATAATAATAATAAAGAACGATCATGGCACGTTTTTGTGCCAATAGGAAAGGCCCGTGAGCAGGGGAATGGATGCCACCGTAGAGAGAGGGGAGACGGAGGAACCGGGTCCCTCAGGGGGCGGGCAGGCGGACTGAGCACACACCTGCAGTCGCCCATGGGACGGGGTGCTCAGCACAGGGGCGAGGCACCCAGGCTGGGGGCCTGACACACGGGGGCCCCTCCGAGCTCCGGGGGTGAGCCGGAAGAATGAAAAGCGACTGGAGGTCAACACACACGTTTTCCACTGTCTGCCATCGAGCACTGTCTCAAACAGGAAGACGGCAGCCAGCACCGCAGGCAGAAACGGGAAACGTCGCAAACTCTGCACCGGGCTTCGACCACTCGCTCCTGGCTGCTCTTCCACAAACTGGCCTGCACCACTCACCACTCCCACCCCGGGCCCTCCCTGGCGCCGGCCCCGGGCTCTGTCCCAGCGACCCCGTGGGGGAAAGAAACGAGGGAGAGTCCCAGTGTGGCACGTGCTGGCCAGCCGACGTCGCCAGCCCCCGGGGGGGTGACCAGCCCCGTTCCCGGGAGGGACACCGGAAGGTGGGACTGACTCGGGCACCCGTAGGAACCGATGTCTGTGCGACTCCCGACGGCGTACAAAGGCACCGCGTGTGGTCCCCATGGGGGCACCCTGCACACCACTGCGTCTCACTCCATGACACCTGTCGTGTGTCTGAGGGGACTGAGCCTCCAAGAGAGGGGCAGGGGGCCACACCACACTGAGCATCGCGATGGCCACGCACACTGCTCGGGGTTCAACGCCCCCCCCCCGTCTTTAACCTTCACGACAATTCTGTGGGGTGCTGTCTCCATCTCGGATAGGTCGGTTCTCAACACAATCCCAAAGCTCAGATGCTGGTGGTCCCTCCCCACCCCCATTTCCCTCCCCCACACCCGTTCCTGGGGCCGTACCCTTCCCCAGCTCCCCCCGCCCCCGGCAGGGAAAGGCCCGCACACCTGTGATGGTACAGGCATCCCGGTACCCTCTGCAGCTGGGAGCATCTTCCACAGCCTCGCTCACATAGTGCTCCTCGGGGATGCCCGGGCCGCAGGCTAGGACTGCATGGTTGCACGCCTCCGGGGAGGGCACGGAGTGGGCCAAAGTGTCGTCGTGCAGAGCTGTGGCGTCCAGCTTGGCAGGTTTCACGGGGAGGCGCCCACTGCCATCGGCGGTCCCGCGGCCGGAGTCTGGCGCAGTTGGGCGGACGGCCCCCGTCAGGTCCGGCGCACCAGCAGGGCCTCCTCACGGGGAATCTACGGGGGGGCACAGAGAGAGGAACACGGTTACTCCGAGTCAGAAACAGGTGGACACAATCCCTACAAAAACAAGGGCCCCGAGGCGATGGCACTCGGGTGTCAGGATCGGAAAACCGCTTCCTCCTTCCAGCCGAGGCGCTGCCAGTCAAAGCCCATGGCTCCGAGCGAAGGACTGCGGGACCCGTTCACTGCGGTCTTGACGCCTGTCCTGACGCAGCGCCAAGCAAATAAACACCCTGGGCCGCAGCCGAGGCGATGACACCTGCCCTGAAATAAAGTCTCCGGGACACCTGGCAGCCACAACGGAGCGCCCGGGGGACCGGGCGTGTGTCCTTGCTGCGGAAGACGCGCACTGATCTACTTCCGCGGGGCTCATCGACGTTTTATTTATACACTGAATTATGTATAATGTGCTGTTTCTCTTCAACGCTTTCAACCACACCACCTTCTCAACTCCTCAGGAACTTTGAGGCATGGCCCCTGCCTTAAGCTGCAGCGACAAAACAGGGGACTCCTTTAAGAATATGATGACAACTACACACCTAGTTCAAAAACATAAAAATTAAAAAAAAAACACCACATGCAATTTCAGGGAAAATCAGCCCATTTGCAGATCCTGGGGGACCCAGGGACAGCAGAGTGAGACCCTGGGACCCCGCAGGTCAAGTCCTCTCCAGGGGCCACGCCAGCAACATCAGCCTAACCGGGCCCTCCCCAGCCCCGTCGAAAATCAGACGAGCAGAACATGACTCATGGAGAGGGATGGCGCAAGGCAGAGGCAGCTGAAGACTCCACGGGCCCCCGAGACAGCGCACCTCCGCTCAAGGGACGTCCCCGCACATTTCAGGAGAGCAGGAGCGCCTTAGACCTTGACTTTTGATTCTGCAACGGCCCCTCTCCTCCCAGTCCACCTCCGCATACACTGCACGTGCGCAGGAAAACATGTGAACACACGTGCTGGCAGGAATGTCCAATGTGAGCTTTGTGAACTCGGCAGGAAGCCTCAAGAACATTCTTCAGCACAACAGCACTCAGAGCTCGGGCCTGAGAACCCCTGCGGCTCCTTCACGCCAGTCTGGAGGGCCCACAGGGTCCGAGTGACTTTCCAGTGTGCCTTTGTTCTCGCATGGACGTGTGTGGAGCTTCCAGAAACTACGTGTCATGCGATGATGCCTTTGCTCTGAGCGCTCATGAATGGACTGGGCAACTCTGCATCCCTGTGGTTAAAGTGTTCTGTTCTGATTTCTAATACGATACGTGGGAATCAACATAATACCCATGAACAAAGGCCCTGGGGATCCTCTGTAATTTTTAAGGGGTCCTGAGACCAAGAAAGTTCGAAAATTACTTCTCTAGGGCATGGTGCATTTGCAGTTCATTTTTGAAAACGAAAAAGAAAGAAAACAAAAAGAAAAGAAAGTTAGCAGACGTTTTACCCTGACATTTCCCCTCTTCGAACCCGCCGAGAGCTCCTGTTAATGAACTCGGCCGAGGTGCTGAGCTCCCTGCCCTCCTGCAGGTGAACAGGTGAGCACAAGCCGGGAAGGCGTGGGGCAGCCCGGGCATCGCTGCTCGAAGCGAAAGGAACCCCGAGGCAAAGGGGCTGTGGCATCGAGTCAGTGATGCCGCTGCCGACGGACGGCCACGCCGCCTGGTTAGAAAACGCCGAGACCTGCCCGGCGGCGGAGGCCTGAGGAAGTGGCCAGCGCACCCATTAAGCTCCTGCTGCATGCAAAGGCAACAGAAAGATGGCGTCAGGTCTGCAGCAACTCAAAGGCCCCTCGCTTCCCTGGAGCGGCAGGCCGGCTGACGACCCCTTACGGGCGCTCACCAATGAACAGATCAACACACACAGCTCACAGGGGAGGGCGACATACTGCAGGACACACGGCACCTCCTGTCTAAAGGGCGCACGTGACTCACACACCTGGAGCAAACGGCTCAAAAGGGGAAGAAAATGGGCAAGAGATATAAAGTTACCTCCCCTCCCAAACAAAGAAACACACAGACACCAAACATTTTAAGCAACCATAATAGTAAGCAAAGAAAAAAAAATTGTGTGTATTAGACTGCGTTAAAAATTATAACGAGGCTCGATTTGGCGAGAGTCTTTAACCACTCATAGACCCAGGCATCACGTGGACAGCCTGGCTCTAAAGGTGTGTGGCCGTCTGGCCGAGGAGGCTTGGGTCCAGGTGGCTCGTCACGGTGAGACACTAGCAGCCACGGAATGTGCAGCAGGCAGGATCGTGTCAGACATGGGGCAGCCACGGGGGAGGCTGTGAAAAGGACGTCTCGGAACAGGCGCGAACTGATCCACCCAGAGAAACGCCCCGCGTGGAGGGACGGGGGACCACGGATGTGGGCGTCAAAAGGTCTTAAAGCCCGTGAACAGCCTGCGCCCTCCTCAACTCAGACCTCGTCTCGTCCGCAAGCAGCTGCATCCCACACGATCGTCACACAGGGTTTGGGATACGCTCCTCTTTTGCAGAACGCCGTCACTCTACTCTAAACAGGATGATTCTGCTCAAGTCAATGTTTTGTTTTGTTGTTTTTTTAAGCAAAGGGCCTAAAAGATAAAGATTTCCTAAAGAGGGCATCAAGCACGGATTGATTATACAGCTTCTGCTTTCACGGTCTCTGAGATGAGGGCGTCGGCCTGAACGCCGGTCATTCATTGGCCCTAAGCCACGACGTCCCCTCCTCCTGGTGCCCTGGTTCGCTGTTCAGTCGTCTGCCCCTTAAGCCAGAAACATGCTGTTATAAAATAAACAGTTCAAGTGTGAACACTCTCTAGAACGGCAAATGTTGGACACATCAGCAAATGCTCGCTCCAGCCTCAAAATGGAATGCAAGCAACCGTGTGGAAGGCCAAAGTACAGTTTGTTTGCACAGCAACGGACAAAGCCCTCGGAAGCTTGAGAGAGCCACCCTCCCCTAAAGAAAAGTGCAACAGAACTACTCCAACTTACTTGCACGTCTCAAACCCCGGGACGTAAGTGTGTGTATCCACATGCACGCCACAGCTGAGGTACCGCATACCCCATGACTTCTGAACTGTAATTCTCATATGACTTTCTTTTGTCACAAATACCAAAGTGGTATTCATGTTTTATTATGATTAAAAAGAACATACCATTTAAAAGTACCACCTTGACCATCTTTAAATGTACAACTCAGTGGTGTTAGATACCTTCACGCTCTCGTGCAAACAACCTCCAGGAGTCTCTTCATCTTGCAGAACTCTGTCCCCAGGAAATAACTCCCCCTCTCCCCTCCCGCCAGCCCCAGGCGGCCAACTGGCCTCCTTTCCATCTCTGTGAATTCTCTGCACTAAACACCTCCTGGGAATGGAATCGCATGGCATTTGACCTTCTCGGATGGGCTTATTTCACTTAGCGTGATGTCCACAAGCCTCACCCAATATTGCAGCAGGTGTCAGAATCCCATTCCTCTTTAAGGCTGAAGAACACTCCGTTGTCCTGAGAAGCCCCTTGAAGTGAGAAGACCAAACTTCAGCCCATCAAAGTCAAGTGAGGAACGACCTCAATGTCTATTAATAGAAGAACAGTTACAGCCCCAGCTGGTGTGGCTCAGTGGATTGAACACAGGTTTGTGAACCCAAGGGTTGCCGGTTCGATTCCCAGTCAGGGCACATGCCTGAGTCTCGGGCCAGATTTCCAGTAGGGGGCGTGCAAGAGGCAACCACACATTGATGTTTCTCTCTTCTTGCATTCCTTGCAAAAATATTTTTTAAAAATATTTTTTTAAAAAATAGAACAGTTACAAATAAAGGCACATCCAAACTCCTGAATTCTGTAAAGTGAGATGACCCACGTCAGGCGTTCTCCCCCGTGGCAGGCATACATGAACTCCTCAGAAGAACCGTGGACGCTGACATTATGATTTCCAGATTCTCGGGACCGGGCCCCTTTCTAGGTTCTACCATCGTATTCGTGCACCAACACTTCCACGCCCATTTCACCGTGAAACCTTTCTCTGCGTGACATCCAGTCACGTGGCGTTTACTTCACGGGGTACATGTCGGGAAAAGCCCCCCTGCACCTGCCACCAGCTGCAGGGGCTGGCCCTGGCGTCTGTCAGGTACTGAGTTACCCAGTTGCAGAATCAAGAATCAAGAACAAAACGAAGGGTCTGGTGCAAAAACTTTGAGGACTTCCTGTAGCCAGGAAGCTGGGTCAAGTGCATTGGAGGTTCCAGCTGATACCAGCTGCTGCCCCCCCTGCCCCCCCCACTTCAGCTGGGCACTGTCACCAGCCCCATTTTCCAGGCCAGGGAAAGAATGCCCAGAGAGATTGGGTGACATTCCAAAGGTCTCAGGGCCAGCCAAAGGGGGGACCAGGTCTGGGCTGAGCCAAGCGATGAGACCCCCGTGGGAAAATGACTCCTGGCACCCACGTGTCTCGCCTCCCCGCACTCGAACAGCAGCAGGCATTTCGGAGGCTCCACACGGGGTTCGGGGACGGAGCAGCCCCAGCCCCGGGTGCTCCCGGGCTCCGGCGAACCCTGGCACACCGAGCAAAAGGCTCCTTTCAGGCGGAGCACGCAAACGAGGCTGGAGCTGAGTGAGGGTGGACGGCCCGAGCCATGAAAGCGCCTCTGTCTCACTCACTGCATTCTGCGGGGAGCCTGCCGGGGGGAGGGATTTTTCTTAGCAGAGGAGTGAGAAATTCTGCAACCTGGTCAATTTTTCAGCAAAAAGAGGTGCCGGGAAAAGAAGTTGGAGAAAGACCTCCCAGAGGCAGCTCTGCTGCAGCAGAGAGAACCCTCCGGCCTGGCGCCCGGCGCCTGGGGGCCTTGGCCCAGGTCCCCAGCATCACGCTTCCTTCCAAACCTGTGGTCAGGGATCCCAGCCCCCCGGGATGTCAGAGTCCCGGACAGGCTGCTCGTGCTGATTCCAGTTTGTTCTCAACTCAGCTTTGCTGACCAAGTACACACATGTGGCCCTGGCTGGCGTAGCTCAG